TTCAGACGTTTAAACCAGGCAGGGTTTAACCTTCAGAATCTTTCATCATTTCAATTAAGATTATAATCATTTATTTTAAAAGCACAGCCACCGCAAAATCAGACTTTAACACCTCTTTTCACTTTGAAATCATTCTGAGGTTAAATACAGATTTAAAATCATAACAAGAAATAGTTTTAATAGCTATAAAACGGTTTTTGAAATCAGTTCTTTGCATACAGGAAACACTGGCATCTAACAGTTCATCTTTAAAAAAAAATAAAAATAAAGCATAGACATAAACCCAAATAGGAAATAAACCAATTACTGAATAAATGTGTCCTAAACTCCTGAAACATTTGTGTCTCAAAGCAGTCAATGCAATTTGGGAAAGAAATCAATTAAATCTGTATGCGAGTAAAAAAAATAAAAATTCAGATGTAACCCCCTTTGTAATCTTTAAAATGTTTATAAGTAACTGTAATTTAATTACACATTTTTTTCTCAGTAACTGTAACTGATTACAGTTACATCTCTTTTGTAATTAAATTATGTAATTCCGTTAACTGTATCTAGTTACTCCCCAACACTGTTAGTAGACCCCTTACCAAAAAGTAGTATACTTCAAGTTTATTTTAAGTATACTTAAGTAAAGTTCAAGTATATTTTTAAGTATACTTTATGTAGTAAGTATACAAATATCAGTGTACTAGTAGTATACTTGTAAGTGTACTATATCAATACTCCTTGGGCCTAAATTGGCCCACTTTCTAGTATATAAAAGTATACTTTAAGTATAACAGTAGTAAACTTTGAGTACACAACTAGTTTACATCAATATTTTAGCTTGTACTGCAACTATACTAAAAGTGAACTTATAGGTATACTGATAGTTTTCTAATTAAATACTTGTAGTAGCATTTTTAGTACACTTTGAAGTATAGTATCAGTAAACTACTAGTTTAGTAGTTTTATAGTGCAAGTATAATCGTAAGTTTTCTTTAAGTGTATTTTACATCATACTTTAAGTATACTACTACGTCCCTATTTAGGTATTAATTTGTATATATTTTGGTACATGGATATCTGAACATACAAAACATCAAATGAACAGGGTCTCTGCTTGTAAACAAAAACATTTTATTCTAGCTTCATGCATTCTTTTTTTAAACACTTGAATGTGGGTAAGTTTCATAAATAATAAAAAAAATAAAGAAATAAACATTTTGAACAAAAAGCTGAAAAAAAAGACTCAATTGGATTCAGAACGATAATCAAAACGTAGATAGAGTCGATCAACACCCCAAAGCTTGACAGTCAGTATTACCTCTTTATTGGTCGACATTACATCAACTTTACACAGTTTTGATGCTGTTTTATGTCTGATGATCGTGTTAGATTACACGTGGAAGCGTCTGTTGTTTCGGTTTCTTCTTCACTTGTGTTTTTTGGAAATTCTGTACCGCAGATGTGTACTAGCGCGCCCTACAGTATAACAATGAAAACACTGATTCTAGGAGCACAAGTATAGCTCAAATATATTTAGACTTTTTCTAAGTATAAGTCAAGTATACTTAAATGTCATTTTAATTAAGTATATTTCTGAGAAGTACATAAAGCCCATTTCTGAGAAGTACATAAAAAGTAGACTAAAAGTATACTTTCCTATTTTTAGTTTAAAAGAAGTATACTAACAGCACACCTGAATAAACTTCTTTTTCGTAAGGGATGCTCTGTTCTTGTTAGTAGAACTGACTGCGTTGTTTACATATCACGATTTTGAAGTGTTTGATCATCTAAAATATTCTTTGGGTTGAAAAGACTTGTTAGTTATTATTAGCAAAGTCCCTTTCAATATATAGTATCGCTATAGTCTTTGCTATTAGTCATTTATAGAGAAACAGTTCCCTCTTGTGTTCAACAACATGCATTAGGAACAGCAGATAACTAGTAACTTTACTAATAAGCATTAAAAATACGGTTTTGTACAGCAAAGGTGTGATTTTTACGCATATGTAAGCTATAATTACGAATGAATTCGGAAGAGCTGCAGTGTGCTTACATGTTGCCGATGTACAGACCGGGCCAGACTTCATCGGCGTTAGTGTAGACGGCTCTTCCAGACAGCAGGAGACGTTCAGCCTCCATCACCGCCAGACCGGGAGAGCTGAAGTCGACCACCGGTGGAGGTGAACCTGAGGTACCGTCGGAATACTTCGACCTGGAAGACATTTTAAAGTGTAAATGGGCATTTGGTGTCCACTGCTTTTGGTAATCTTGCAATAGGTTGTTTCGTGCACGACGCTGTATCAGGTCCGTCTGTCAGAGTTATATTCAGACTGTCACTCAGACTCGGTTCACAGTGTGCGTGAATGAAAGCCGTGTGTGGATGCCAGACAGTGCAGGGGTTATTTTAGGAACAGGGAGTCTCTCGGCTCTGATCGTTTACACATGCTCTGTGATATATACTGGGATCTGCTCGACGATTTACAGACAGTTTGCTTTAATCCACGGGTCATTTCTCACCGGCCTTATACTTTTGTTGATAATACAACATAAATAACACCTTTTAAAGCGATGCAGTAAATATATATAACTGTAAATTTAACATAAATTGAGATGAATTAGTGAATTATGATTGTTTCTAGGTTGTCAGTTCGGTATTGGCCACTGTAAAAAATTATATTATTTCAGTAATATAAAGTAAAATTGTGAAAATTCTGACTTACATTTTTTAAACGTTCACCTTTCAAAATTATGGCGTTATTGTAGCCTAATATTTGAATCTATACCGCTTATCAGTTACGTATACTGGATTGTTATTGGTCCTCTTACATACATTTATTTAAATACTGAATTGTGATTGGCCTTCATACTTACACTGTTTACATACTGCATTGTGATTGGCCTTCATACTTACACTGTTTACATACTGCATTGTGATTGGCCTTCATACTTACACTGTTTACATACTGCATTGTGATTGGCCTTCATACTTACACTGTTTACATACTGCATTGTGATTGGCCTTCATAAGTTACGTATACTGGATTGTTATTGGTCCTCTTACATACATTTATTTAAATACTGAATTGTGATTGGCCTTCATACTTACACTGTTTACATACTGCATTGTGATTGGCCTTCATACTTACACTGTTTACATACTGCATTGTGATTGGCCTTCCAGTTCCGTACGCACTGGAGCCGTTTTTAACGGCTCTGGTACATAATAATCAATCTGACAATCAGCCAGTGTTGCCAACTTAGTAATTTTGTTGCTAAATTTAGCAACTTTTCAGACTACCCTAGCAACTTTTTCTTCCAAAAGCACCTAGCAACAAATTTAGCAATTTAAAAAATTGATTTGGCAACCTTTAGCAACTTTTGATAAGTGACTCAGACAATAAAAAGGCACACATTTTCCATCTAAATTACACAAAAAGAGGAAACCACAGACGCCTAGCAGTACACACATCACGAGAATTGAGTTAGCTGCTATTTGCAATTGTTCAATTTAATAATAATAATTTGATCATTTGATAATACACTTTGTTAGTAGCTTGTACCTGCGATTGTTGATCAGTTAGTATACCGTAAGAAAAATGGAAAATCTTTCAGGACATCATCCATTGTAACCCTGTAACCCGAAAACACAATGCGTAATTTAAAATGCAGTTAAAAAACCATTACGGAAAAATCTTTCATATTAACATAGTAGATTGTGCCTTATTTTGTACAGACGTTTCTTAGAGTGTAGCATACTAACTAACTACTAACACACTGCTTAAAGCATATTAGTTGAGAATGTGTAGAATTACTAGTTTACTAGCTACTAAAAACACTTCAATTGAAATCATTCAAAAATGTGTACGTTTTCAATAATTCAGTGTATTTAAAAATACAGTTATTTATATTTTAATATTATATCATGCATATTATTTTACAAACAAATCTAAATTAACATATATAAAATCTATTTTCTGCTGAGGTTTGATGACGTGACAATTTTGCGTCGGGATTACGCAGTGACATCACACAACGTCATTTAGCAACTTTTAGCAACAAATCGACCTTCCTTTAAATAGCAACTTTCTCTGAAAATGAGTTGGCAACACTGCAATCAGCATTCAGCTAGTCGGACATGAAATGGTAAAGATGCGGTCACGTTACAAGATTTTGTGGGCAAAAAGGTCTATTGATGTATGTAGAGCAGTGGTTCCCAAACCTGTCCTGGAGGCCCCCTGCCCTGCACCTTTTGTATGTCTCCCTTATCTAACACACCTGATTACACTCATCAGCTCATTAGTAGAGACTGCAATAACTAAATTGGGTGTGTCTGATTGGGGAGACATACAAAATATGCAGGGCAGGGGGTCCTCCAGGACAGGTTTGGGAACCACTGATGTAGAGCAACTCACACAGGAAAATCACTTTAAAACCAAGCAGCTTTCTGCTGGTCACCTCTACAAATAGCCTATGTTTGAAACTTGAATCTTTCGCCCCGTACAATACCAAATGTGACCGCATTTACACAAAACCAAAGCATAAGTCTTTGTATAACTTGGCATTTCTTTCATAAATTGCAAGTATAATTGTTTATGTTTCGAGCATAGTAGGATTCAACAATAAATGAAAACTTAATTGATAAATTATATATTTTGGCAATAAGAAACTACATCTTTTTTCTGTTCTTTATTGGAAAGGACGGAGTATCTTATGGTTTGCAAATGGGCTATTACAGTGAAGCGACTAATGTAAATAAATTCCTATATTGTCTACAGAAATATGTCCTGAGCCGATGACACAATCTGTTGAATTGAATGTCTTGATTTTGAATATGAGACCCTACAGTCAGTTGACCTTTATTCAGTCCTACAACATGATAGAGAAGCAGTCCCCGCTTGTGTTCAAAAACATGCATTACATTTACATGGGGACTTCAGCAGGCAAGATTTTTGGTCCTTGCTTGGGATTTGTGTTTTCAATATATTCGTTATACAAATATACTTGTCTTTTTATCTGTAAAGATTAATCTAATAAACAATTTCAGGTATACATAAGAGAAAATGTACAGAGAGAGAGCGAAAACACATACAGTAAAGATAAACGTGGAATCCGAGGCTTCATGCAGAGCTCAGTTGATTTGCAGTTTTTTTGTATTTGAGATACTTCTCTGTTGTGGTATGAAAAAGCACCTGCTGATATTATGGCACAGTTTTTCCTGGTTACAAAACAGACATGAAATCTGTGTGGTAGGAGGAAGACCTGTTGAACGGTCCATGATGATTGGCCTTCATACTTACACTGTTTACATACTGCATTGTGATTGGCCTTCATACTTACACTGTTTACATACTGCATTGTGATTGGCCTTCATACTTACACTGTTTACATACTGCATTGTGATTGGCCTTCATACTTACACTGTTTACATACTGCATTGTGATTGGCCTTCCAGTTCCGTACGCACTGGAGCCGTTTTTAACGGCTCTGGTACATAATAATCAATCTGACAATCAGCCAGTGTTGCCAACTTAGTAATTTTGTTGCTAAATTTAGCAACTTTTCAGACTACCCTAGCAACTTTTTCTTCCAAAAGCACCTAGCAACAAATTTAGCAATTTAAAAAATTGATTTGGCAACCTTTAGCAACTTTTGATAAGTGACTCAGACAATAAAAAGGCACACATTTTCCATCCAAATTACACAAAAATAGGAAACCACAGACGCCTAGCAGTACACACATCACGAGAATTGAGTTAGCTGCTATTTGCAATTGTTCAATTTAATAATAATAATTTGATCATTTGATAATACACTTTGTTAGTAGCTTGCACCTGCGATTGTTGATCAGTTAGTATACCGTAAGAAAAATGGAAAATCTTTCAGGACATCATCCATTGTAACCCTGTAACCCGAAAACACAATGCGTAATTTAAAATGCAGTTAAAAAACCATTACGGAAAAATCTTTCATATTAACATAGTAGATTGTGCCTTATTTTGTACAGACGTTTCTTAGAGTGTAGCATACTAACTAACTACTAACACACTGCTTAAAGCATATTAGTTGAGAATGTGTAGAATTACTAGTTTACTAGCTACTAAAAACACTTCAATTGAAATCATTCAAAAATGTGTACGTTTTCAATAATTCAGTGTATTTAAAAATACAGTTATTTATATTTTAATATTATATCATGCATATTATTTTACAAACAAATCTAAATTAACATATATAAAATCTATTTTCTGCTGAGGTTTGATGACGTGACAATTTTGCGTCGGGATTACGCAGTGACATCACACAACGTCATTTAGCAACTTTTAGCAACAAATCGACCTTCCTTTAAATAGCAACTTTCTCTGAAAATGAGTTGGCAACACTGCAATCAGCATTCAGCTAGTTGGACATGAAATGGTAAAGATGCGGTCACGTTACAAGATTTTGTGGGCAAAAAGGTCTATTGATGTATGTAGAGCAGTGGTTCCCAAACCTGTCCTGGAGGCCCCCTGCCCTGCACCTTTTGTATGTCTCCCTTATCTAACACACCTGATTACACTCATCAGCTCATTAGTAGAGACTGCAATAACTAAATTGGGTGTGTCTGATTGGGGAGACATACAAAATATGCAGGGCAGGGGGTCCTCCAGGACAGGTTTGGGAACCACTGATGTAGAGCAACTCACACAGGAAAATCACTTTAAAACCAAGCAGCTTTCTGCTGGTCACCTCTACAAATAGCCTATGTTTGAAACTTGAATCTTTCGCCCCGTACAATACCAAATGTGACCGCATTTACACAAAACCAAAGCATAAGTCTTTGTATAACTTGCCATTTCTTTCATAAATTGCAAGTATAATTGTTTATGTTTCGAGCATAGTAGGATTCAACAATAAATGAAAACTTAATTGATAAATTATATATTTTGGCAATAAGAAACTACATCTTTTTTCTGTTCTTTATTGGAAAGGACGGAGTATCTTATGGTTTGCAAATGGGCTATTACAGTGAAGCGACTAATGTAAATAAATTCCTATATTGTCTACAGAAATATGTCCTGAGCCGATGACACAATCTGTTGAATTGAATGTCTTGATTTTGAATATGAGACCCTACAGTCAGTTGACCTTTATTCAGTCCTACAACATGATAGAGAAGCAGTCCCCGCTTGTGTTCAAAAACATGCATTACATTTACATGGGGACTTCAGCAGGCAAGATTTTTGGTCCTTGCTTGGGATTTGTGTTTTCAATATATTCGTTATACAAATATACTTGTCTTTTTATCTGTAAAGATTAATCTAATAAACAATTTCAGGTATACATAAGAGAAAATGTACAGAGAGAGAGCGAAAACACATACAGTAAAGATAAACGTGGAATCCGAGGCTTCATGCAGAGCTCAGTTGATTTGCAGTTTTTTTGTATTTGAGATACTTCTCTGTTGTGGTATGAAAAAGCACCTGCTGATATTATGGCACAGTTTTTCCTGGTTACAAAACAGACATGAAATCTGTGTGGTAGGAGGAAGACCTGTTGAACGGTCCATGATGTCAGTCAGTGACTTTGGTGCAAAGGATTAAATGTAGTGAAGTTAAAGGGAACTTTTATTCCATGGAGAAGTGCTGATGTTCTGTCCATAATTCGCATCCCTGCTCCAGTCCTTCAGATATAAACTGTACATTATTAATTTTTTTAAAAAGGCCTCCTGTTTGACTGTATACAGGCCCGCAGATGGCTACCGCCACCTGGACACTGACGCAGATGCATTGAATCAGCTACAGATCAGTAGTCACACAAAGGAAACAAACAATAGCCAAAAGTCCTCCGAACTGCAGGATGTAAACAATCATGTTAACACAAAGGCCTGTACTAAAAAAATGAACTGAGATGCAGGTGCACAATCAAAGGAAGTGACCACAGCAGATGAAGGCTTCATTGATCATTAAAGACTACATCCAGTGGTTTGATGAATGCAATTTTTTATAACGAAGTTGGGGCAAAACATATCAAAGAGTTTGTCTTTTTATAAAATAGCCTAGTATACATCGCAGCCTTGGAAAATCATGATTTGCTACTCACTATTGCTTGTTAGAGGCAAGTGGTACTGAAGGTTTGTCAACTTTTAATAGTATACTAGCATGAAGATGGTCTCAAAAGCTAACAAATATGGTCTAAAATCCACAAAATGCCATTTCTTAATTTAAGGGGTCTTTAAAATCCAGATGAGGCCTGGAAAAAGAGTAATGAAACATGAACTATGGATCCAATTGCAGTGTGAGAGTTGGTCTGAGATCCATCCAAGATGTGGGTTTGTAATGAGACAGAACCATGATCTGAATCAAAAACTGGCATGTGTAATCACTTAAGGTCCAGTCACATTTACGGTTATGAAATTTTGCCAGTGAAATCCAATAATTTCAATAGGAATCTCCAAGATTGGGAATTTTGTGTAATGGCAATTTGTCACATTAATCAACAGAGAGCTGCTTGGTTTGAAAGTGACTTGTGTGAGCAGTGTTTCGTGCATTGCATGCATTGGAGAATGGACCTTTTTGATGCTGAAACTTGGCTAATTTCCATGAGGAAGGTGACTGAATGAAACTGGTGATAAAACTAATACACAATACAACAGAAAATGGGTGAAATTAAATGGAGTGAGTTACAAAAAACTGACCTTCTTTTATTTATAAATCAAGATATTTTACAATAAAATCAAGAATGTATTGGTGTAATAGCAGTGCTTAACAACATTCCAAGTGCAAAAGGCTCTGATCTTGAAAAGTTGTGCTACCAAAAACCAATGGAAGTATTAAAATGTGGTTGAATTAGCTCTGTTTTATCCTTTCAGTCTGCCTAGACTCAAGAAAAAAAAAAACACGAAAGTCTTAAGATGGTGTTATGCAATGAGACTTATGTTTAATTCTGAGCAGATGTCAGACTGCTGCTCTTTGCTGGATGTCAGAAGGCTGGTTTGAATATGGCACTGCAATGATTAGGACATTTTGCGCCTGTATTTCAACTAATACATTACCATCGGTAGGGTACGCGACCCCAAAACACCACAGAGTTAATGCTGGCAAACTAACTGGCAACTGTGAAAATTCTAATCTGTTATCATGAGAAGATATCATTAAAAAGAAAGAAAAAAAAGAACAACCAGAACCATCATAATCAATCCACCCTGTTATTAGAAAGCCTTTTTCTCAAGGTGGTCCAAGATGGCCTGGATCCTCTGGACAGCATCTTTGCGAGCCTGTCGAACGACGTCCTGCCCTTTGGTCTCCACAGAGTCCAATTCCAGCAGCTCTTTTGTCAAAAGTTCCTCCAGGCACCGGTAGCTCTTGTCCATCTTTTTCCCTACAAACTCATCCACGTCCTCTTGGAGGAGCTGAACTCTGGCCAGAACCTGCTGAACTCGAGCCAGGCTGGGATTATCGCTTAATGGGGCTGGAGTGGACGACCCTTGGCGGGAAGACGTTGGAGGTTGTTCATTCTGGGCTGGTTTGGGCTCGGGTCCTCCACATCCGGAGGGAGCCTTGTTGTAGATTTGAGGCGGAGCGCTGAACTGGGTGGCTTTGGGTGGAGGTGGAGTTGGGTTTGGAGTGCTGGCTCGTGGTTTGGAGCCTGGAGGCTGGTTTCGAGGGTGCATATGAAGCTGACTGTGATATGGTGGATCCTAAGAGAGAGATATTCATTTAGATAATAAAAAAGCTCTAAATATTACACAATATACCAATTCCAGTTTTGCATGTGTTAAATCCAAAGTATACTTGGTTTTTACACGTAAGCTAAAATATATGTATAGTGCATGTGACAATTTTCATTACGAGCAAACTATAGGCCTATGCGTGTAACCCGATTTTTCGAGACATGCATACTTTATATGCTATTGATGAGAGAAACAAAGCTTTTCAAAGCTCTGAACCAACTGATTCGTAAAATTATTTACTGCTTTAAAGAACTTGAAACTTTTTTTTTTTTTACAAATCTTTTACAAACCAATTGCAAATGTTTTCATGAAAGTGTAATGCATTAAAGGTCACATATTTTACACCTTTCTGGAGTTTCTGTCCTTAATAGGGATGCACGATATATCGGCCACCATATCGGTATCGGCCCATATCGGCTAATTTTTTCTGTTATCGGTATCGGCCTGATAAGAAAATTTGGCCGATATCTTAAAGCCGATAAATAATGCATTATTTCCTTCAGAGACACTTCAGATGCGCGCTGTTCGTTTGCAGCCTTTTGTGCAATTGTACGTTGTAATATTGTGTTTATTTGATGTATATCTGATTTATCTCATATAGAATGCGTTTGGTTAAGTTAAAAGAGCGCTTCAGTTTACCGGTGATCATCTTTAGCTCAGCACACGCAGCTCAAACAGCAGTGCACAACATTAATAACTATGATTGGGAATGTCGTGTATATAACATTCTAATGAGAACATTATTATAATAAAACGTTGTGAATTCTTTGGGTTTAGTTGCCGTGTTTCAGCGCGTTGTTATGGGAAGAGCGCATCCACAACAGGATCACACATTCTGACTATAGCACGCAATAACTACGTCATTTTGTACATATATAAGTTGTAATATTATGTTTATGTTGTATTAATATTAATCTCAGGATGCATTTCCTTGAGTTAAATAAGCTGCCAGCAAAACGCTTCAGTTTACCATGTTCATTCAGCTCTTCAGTAACTAACATTAACACAGATTAATAAATGTATTGTTCCATGTTCGTTCGTATCCAGCGGGCAAGGTTTATGCGCATGCTCCAAGTCTTCTCCATTTTTAGTGTATCTCTGTGGCAGAATTACAGTGCCACATACTGGACTGGCATACTACATTGTTTTGTGTCGCTTTCGTGGTTTTGCGTGTACGCAGATATTTCTTGAGACGAGGAAAAAAAAAAAAAGATTGGATAGGGAAAGCTCTGGCTTGTGGATGTGGCCTAAATATGAAGGTTCTGTAAAATAGTTGATTTATTAATTTGTAGTTTTTTTGTGTTTGTTATTAAGCAGAGCTTGGCAAGGTCAATCAGAAAAAAATAAGTATTGTTTTCCTTTTTGCATTATACATGCATAAATATTAAAA